TTCTTTCGTTTTTGAACTTCATTGTCTTTTTAATTTAATGTACTATTTATTTGTGAAAATAAGTTTCTCACAGCCTTTGGAAATAAGTGACAGATTTATATTTAGTGCAGTAAATAACACCTATCTATAATACTGAATAACTTTCCCATTAAATAGTGAGTTATTCTTTATGTGATTTGAGTTGCCACAAGTGCGATCCATTGAACTTACCCAATAGAGGAAATTCATAACCACTAAATCCCCAGGAATCTTTCCTTCAATCTCTACTTAAAAACATTCAAATTCATTCTACTTAAAAATATTCAAAGGACACTCTTATTTACCGTATTTATTTACTTATTTAGCACATGTATACGGTGACCCAATTCACACACATTGACTCTTATCATCTTCTGCCATAATGTTTTCATTGTTGAACAGCTGTTACTGTGAGGAAAAATTTTCTAATATTTAGCCAAAATCTCTTTCCTCTGAAAGAATTCTGAGCAATTTTGCTTCATTTTTTCCATGATAGCCATTCAAATATTAGAAGACTTCTATCATTTCTCTCCACTGTCTTTCATTCTGAAAGCTGAAAATTATCAGTGCCTCCAACTATCTCTCAAAAGTTTCTTTTCCATAGGCCTTTTTTCTTGGTTGCTCTCCTTTTAAATATCCATCCTAAAATGTGACACCAGAACTTAGGCAATATTTTAGGTGTCGCATGCTCAAGTCATAACACAAAGGAATAATGAATCTTGATCTTGACATTATAATGTGATTGATTCGGTCCAACATTGCCCTTGGCTTTTCTGTAGTTGCATTATACTGTTGGCTCATGGTCATCTTGTGATCAAGAGTCTCAGATAATTTTTTCACTAATATGCATTCATGCCTATTATTTCTACTATCCACATGCAGGATATTGTATTTGTCCCTTTTGAAACTTATCTTGGTTTTTTACAATTTTTCTGGCTTTGTTGATATTTTCCTCTAAAACTTTTGATAGAATAACTATCTTTTGTGTCATCTGAAAATTTGTTAATCATATTGTATAATTCCTCGGGGACTTCCTGTTGATGTCGCAGCAGGAATGGACTGGAAAATAGTGGGCTCTGATGAGCCGCGTGAAATCCAGCCGGACTAACTGCTGCCGGGAGGCTTTCAAGCCATAGCCATCTTGCAGGGACGGTGAAGAAGCAGCAGCAGGGGTGGTGGCCATTTTATGGTCGCCACCTTGAAGCTGGGACAACCGAACCAAAGAATTGTGCAGGAGTGGCGATTGGACGGAGTGCTAGAACTGGGTGAGATAAATGCCAATTTATACTTAAAAAATCGAAATTGAAGTTTTAAAAGAATTTCTGAACATTGACTAGCGGCTATTTGGCATATGGGGGGGGAAACATACACGCGGAACAAAGAGAAGGCGTGGACTGTAATATGAAGAATCTAAGAGAAAGTTTTGAATTTGGAAAATTGGGAAAAGCAAAATATTTTAAAAAGGGAATAAAACGATTTACGGAATAATTTATAAGAGAACTTTTAAAAATCATTGGACATTTTGACAAACAATTGGATAAAATAGCCTGCTTTGTAATGGAGTAGAAAAGAAGAGTGCCATCTGCTGGAGGAAAGAAAAAGTACTGTAACATTCTATTCAAATAGATAAAACAGAAGAAATAGCACCTGGAAACTTCGACCTTGGCCATATAGAAGAAGATAATTTGGACACTGTGAGAATATTGAAGGAGTGACTGTGTTTTACATCTGGGTGGTTGTTTTATTTCCCTTCTCTTCTGGAAGATAGCTTTATAATTGGATTTGACTTGTTGAATTTGAATAATTAATAATTGAGAAGAACATTTTAACTTTAAAGAACAAAGGAATAATTGAAGAAGAAAAGAAGAGATATAAACTATATTGACTTAAAATTCTGGCTAAGTGCATAGAGATATAATTGGGGAGGTATTAGTAACCTTTTAAATTGTTATAAAATGAAGTTGTAGATGTATGAAGATGTGTGAAAATAAGCAATTTGACAATATTATTAATTTTAATATTAATGTAAATTAAAATGGACATTTAAAATATTAATTGTAAAGAGAATAACAATGTTGAAATCATGAAAGTGACTATTTTTGCAAAGAAGAAGGAATAGAACATGTTTGTGATAAACCACAGCAGATGGAAAGGTGAAAATAAGTAATCTAAGGATATTAATTTTGATAACAATGTAAATTAAGATAAATATTTTATTGTTAATGATTGGGTAGAAGGAATTAGAGAGACACTTCCGGAAATGGAGAAAGAATGTAAACAACTGGAGTAATTGTAACTAAGAAGAAGCATAAGGCGTAAAGTGATGTTATTTATAGAAAATTGAAAATGATAAAAAAATAATGGAAAGAAAATAATACAGCAGAAGTTGAAATAAGAAGATATGGAGAAAAATGATAAATTTGTGATAAAGGATACACACAAGAGACAAATATTGGGGGGAAATGGGAAGATTAAGATATATTATAATGATTTTGATTATGTATAAGATGTGACCTGGTCAACACTGTTCATAAAATATGTATGATGAAAAAAATTTTTTTTAATAAAACTTGTCTATAAAAAATATTGTATAATTCTTCATTAAACACACAGAGTGTAACAGAATTTCATAGTACGCCACATAAAATTTTATATAGCTTGATATTGAGTGATGTACATTTACTGGAAATGGCAGAGAGCTTTGTATCCATCTAATGGTAGCATAGGCCAATCCATAATTTGTCATCTTCTCTAATAGAATCCCATGGAATAATTTGTTGAATGCTTTGTTGAACTTAAGGTACCATAGTCATCATTTTTCCATAGCAAGATCAATTGGTCATTCTATGCAAAAGATCAAATTGGTTTGACATGATTTATTCTTCATAAGTCCATACTGGCTCCTTCCACTCTTTTACACCCATACTTATTTACTAATATTTACTAATATTTACTAATCTGCTTCAGAGTTTTCCATAATATTAAAGTCAAGCTCATCATCTGCAATAACTTGATCTTCTTGTTCCCTTATTGACTATAGGAATAACATTTATTTTTGTCCCAAGTTCTGGTATTGTGTCCATTCTACTTGATTTCTCAAAGATTACAGAAAGAGGCTCCAAGAAAATAACCACAAGTTCTTTCACAACTCTTGGATGCTGGTCCAGGATCTTAATACATGATAGGCAGATAATACATGATACCTGATTCCCTAACTTTGGATTCCACTTCTTTCTTCTTTCAGTATATTAAGCTTAGGTTCATCCAAACACAGTCTTCTGTGAGAGAGAAGACCAAAGCAAAGTAGGAATTAAAAATCTCTGCCTTTCCCCCAAAAAATGTTATCATCCTAAAATCCACTCCTACCAGTTGGATCATTCTTTCCTTCCTTTATCCCTTCTTTTTCTTTTTATCTAGCCTTTTTATCTATTACTGTTGGTCTTCCTTGAAAGCCTGGGTGGCCTAGGTAGATCCCCTTGTCTCTTCTGCATATGGAACACTCAATAATGCAATGAGGATTCTGGGTACATTGGTTTTTCAACCAATGTCTAAGTAGTTAATCTTTTCTATTACTACTTTTGTCTCTTTCCCAAATATCTTGTAATACCCAAGAAGGCATTATTCAAATCTTAGGATATCCTTATCAATTTATAGAACATCTTCACAATAATATTTTGATATTTCCCCTTTCTTTTGTTTATATCCAAATATTCTTGACTTCATAATTAGATTTTTGGATCTCCATACTAGTGTATACTTCGTTCACATATCATTCCTTTTACGTCTTCATTTGAATAAATTATGTCTTTCAATTGCAACATTCATTAGTTTTATCCCAATATAGAGTAATTTTTGCTAAATCACAGTTGATATCCTGTGTTAAATCTTGTCCTTCCTCATGTTTTTCCCCATAGTCTATGCTTTTGTACAAAGAGATTGAATTCTTGGATCACATAATATGATTTATCTTTCCTGTATTTACATGCCCATGGTTGGATGTCTCCACATTCTGTATACCTCTTCTCATCCTATTCTTTATATTTAATGCCATAGCATTTTCTACATTCTTTTCTTCCTTCCACACAAGGTTCAGAACTACATGAACATATTTTTCCAGTTGTCATGAGAGGCAGCCTATCTCTTGCCAGCAGTCCCTGATCTCGGATTTTTTGCCTGTTTTGACTTGTACTCCTAAGTAGTACGGTACTACTATTGATAGATTGAACTGTTTTTTTGTTTTGTATAAAGATAGATGCAAACAATGAATTAAGCAGTTCCAGTTTCTCCCTTCTACCCATCAACTCTTTGCCATTCCATTAGTGGACTGATCCTTTCCCTGACCATTTTTCTTGCTTTGTTGAAGCAAGAAACTTGTTGAAAAAAACTTTTTAAAATTATTTTTGGCATTTGTTGCATCCAAACTGCTTCATTGGTACCATCTATGTAGTCTGTTGTTCAATGCCATTATTTTACAATATTTACTATTATTATTCTTCCTTCCTGTACTGCAACATTCAACAGGAAGGAGAGAAATATACACGTGCTAAATGTTCTACAGATACTATCAGTGCTTTCACCCCTGCCAAATTCTTTGTAGTCCCTTGCAGAATCTTGCAGACTATGTCTGCTTGGATCATTTATTTCCACATGGATGAACAGAAAGGGATACCTGTCAATAGACTTAAACTATCTTTGGAATCTCTCTCCATCATAGTAAAAAGTGTGTTCCCCAGAAAGGCTTCTCTTGAAAGGCTGTCTGGATGATGGATTGCTATTTGAATTCCTCTCAGGGGGGTCTTTAATCAGCATCACCCATCACTGCTTCTTCAATGCAAAGGTAGGAATCCTTTCCTCTCCAGAAGGATTCTTTGAAGTAGAATCTTCTTCCTTGGTCACTGGGGTCTGTACCAGCTGCTTTTTTATCCAGAGACCCATAAACATCTTCAAACCATTGTCTTCAAGCAGGGGTTGGTTCTACTTACCTTTACTACCGGTTCGCAACAGGGACAAGCATGCGCAGAAGCGCTTTTATGACGTCAGGGTCAGTGGGCGGAGCCTCTCGCCAGTTTTACTACCGGTTCTATAGAACCAGTGCAAACCGGAGGTAACCCACCACTGTCTTCAAGATGCTGCTTTATTCTTTGAGGTCCTGGGAAGCCTGTTCCAAAAGACAATTAGGAAATATTTGTAAGGGTAGTAAGTTAGAACTGGTTTTCTCATTTAATAACTGATTTTAGAGGTTGTTTGGCTTAAAATACATACATTTCTGAATGCCATGTCTCTCTCTCTCTCTCTCTTAATTAGATCCACCTTCAAAAACATTATATATTACCAACAATAGAATATATATTACATGAAGTGCAAGTACAAAGGAACCATCTAGTTTTCTTTGGATTAATTTTCAGGTAATATAGACCTGATAAAAAGGAGTTCCAGTTATATATTAAGGGAATTGGTGCAGCTCTGTTTCAGATTCAAAGACCAATGTATTAAGAAATTGAGGATTCCTTCAATGCAGTGAGCAGATGTTGGGCCCTGATATGATTAAATATTGTGTAACTAATATCTGTAATTTTTGCTGCCCAAGGAATGTACATGAAAAACAAATATAATAAACTGTCTATCTCTTCACTTTCAAATAGCAGAGCTATCCAGACCCTGATCTACAATACGTATGACTTTAACCACTTTCTCCCTTGAATTGGAGCTGGAAGCCAACTGGTAGCCATAAAAGCCTCCTTAATTTACATGAGCAAATATTGCCAACTTGCATACTGGACCAGATGAGGCTTCCAAGTGGATTTCAAGAGCAGCCCTATATAGAGCAAACTGCAGTAGTTTATAACAAAGATAATAATAATAAGACGTAAGATTGGTAACATTTAAGATAAGCCTCAAGATACATTCAGATTCAGATTCTAAATCTCTTAGTTACCAATGTTACTATCCTTTTTTCTGTTCTGTAAGAAACAATTTTGTTTTCCATTTACATTCTATTTTTATTTTTAAAAGTGATCTGTCTCTATAACAAAGATCCAACAGAACAAAGGAAAGAGCTTGGTCCTTTCTTTGAAAATGTGGTTTTAATTTTATTTTCACTAGGATTTTGCACCATAATAAAGGCTATGGAAGAAAATGTCAATAAAGGTTTTGAGCCATATGTAGCCATATTCTTTACATCGCTGTGCACCTGCTGAAGATGATGTCTTTAACAGAGTGGCATTGCTTCAGATTACTATTATGTAAGTGAATGGAGAAAAATCTTTATTGGCTCTCCATTCATTGGCTCCAGATGGGAGTTCAGAGGACATATAATGGAAAGAACTGAACTGATATCAAAACATTTGTTAGCTTAAAAAATCAAAGAAATGACAGCCAGAACCTTACAATGCAAAGCTGATTGCAGACAACAAGCCCTGCTGAGAGCTGCCAAGAGTATGGGTTTGTCAGCATTTTAATTCCTAGTTAGTGTTCAATCACATCTAACATCTGTTTGTTTGGGATGTTTAGAAATGTCTCCTTAATAGAGATGAAGCAAACAGAGGGTTTGAAGCTTAGACTTCTATATTTTAATCTCCTACATTGAGAGAAAAAGGAAGGAGGAAATTAAAGCTATTGTTCCTGCATCATCCATTTTTTTTCCAACCACCAGGCTGTATATCATTCATACTAAAATCGTGTCAATCCAAAGAGGAAAGCTAAAATAGCTAAGCAAAGAAGAAACTTGATATTATACTTATGATATGTAATAAATCAATAAAAAATAACATCTACAGAAATGACAAATATGTTCTTCAAGAGCAAAATTGACGTATTTTCCCCTTTGTGCATGTAAAAAAAGAGAGAGAGATTCCTTTGCACAAAAAATGAACAAAAGCAATTCCAATATGTAAAATAAATACATTTATTTAATCAATAATATTAATATTAAAATTAGTATTAATTTAAGATTTAAAAGCCAAAGTGGCGCAGTGGTTACAGTGCAGGCTACTTCTGCTGACTGCCGGCTCCCTGCAATTTGGCAGTTCAAATCTCACCAGGCTCAAGGTTGACTCAGCCTTCCAAGGTCGGTGAAATGAGGACCCAAATTGTTGGGGGCAATATGTTGACTCTGTAAACCACTTAGTGAGGGCTGTAAAGCACTGTAAAGTGGTATATAAGTCTAAGTGCTATTGTTATTGCTAAAAGTTTTACAATTATAAAAATAACATTATAAAATTTCAAAAGGTGAAAAATTCCAAGATGGGGAATTAGCAGTTGTTAATACCGGTGAGTGTTCTTATAGTTGTGTGGGAATGTGGGTTCCCCAGGCAAGGGTGCATAGCCAAGTTTCAATCCCTTTGCAGAAGACCAAGAGACTGGGGGCTTTCCTCACCTTTAAAGACAGAGTTAGTGGCAGAGAAGGCCCTCTTCCTAGACCCCACCAGTTGATATTCTACAGGGTCTGCAGCATATTTCCCTGCCTGAATAAGTGGGATGTGGTAAAGCTGGTTCTATAGGTAGCCTGGCCCTATGCCATGTAGGGTCTATAGGTGATGACCAATAGGTCAAATTGCACCCAAAACCAAACTGGCACCCAGTGCAGTTTGCAGAACAAAGGTGTTATATGTGCCTTTCTTTGGGCATCCAATATGGTTTGTGCGGCTGCATTCTGCACCAGCTAAAGCTGGTTGGATTGGCTTTCAAATAGGACTAGGTATACATAATGTTGGTAATGTCAGATATTTCTGGCATATCAAACCTGCAAAACTAACCTCTCTCTCTCTCCCTCCCTCCCTCCCTCTCTCTCTCTCTCTGTGTGTGTGTGTGTGTTGGGGAGAGAAGTACTATTTGTACACTCTTTCCACATATGCTGTTGTAATTTGTTCTCTAACCTGTATTATAGCTGTTTTTCATAGTACATGAAGCGATGAGCACCAGTTTGTGAAGAGACATCTGCCGGTTTTATCCACTTGATCTTTGCTTAGCTAATTTCATTATTCATCATAAAGTCTCAGAGATTTTCACTTAGTCATTGCACATGAGAATATATTTGTAATCTGAAAAAATGTTCCAAGAGAGGCCAGAAGATCAGATTGCTTCTGATGTTTCAGTTACATGAGTTAAACAGCATGTTATGAGATATAGCTTCTAGGAAGGAAATTTAAGGAATATAGCTGGTGAAATAGGGTCAAATTTAGAAGACATTCTCCTACTGTGACTTCATCCAAATGGAGAGAGAGCTTTCCAGGCTTCTGATTTCTGCTTTTGAGTTTCTGTTTTGTCTTTATATGATTCATAGTTTGTTACAGAGAAATGAGGGCAATTCCAACTTCTGAATAAAATCTTTTATCAGCCTCAAATGTCACCATTAAATATCTGGCCATGAAGCAAAACCCATCCATTGCAAAGAACTCTCCAAATAAATCACTTAACAGTATCAATCTTTGTTACCATAAAAAATTTCTCATTCATATTAGGGATAGGAGTGATTATATTTTTGGGTACTTGTGCTATGATAGAAGTCCTGCTAGTTTTCTTGATTTAATCTGATTTACATACATATTGAAGAGGCCCAGTTTGGTGTACTAGTTAAGATATCAGGTTGGAAATCAGGAGACTGAGTTTTAGTCTTGGCTTAGCCATGAAACCAGCTGGGTGATCACACTTTGGGTTACATAACACTCTCTCTGTCTCAGGAAGAATGGCAAGCCACTTCCAAAAATTTCTGCCACAAAAGCTTCAGAGAGCAGTTGCCACAAGTCAAAACTGACTTGAAACACTAATTGTGGTGTATTGAATCAGACAAGCAAGTAGAATTCAAATGGTAACTTGGCTTCTTATCCAGAATATTATTTATTCCATAAATAATGTAGCAAATAATAATACTGTCTTTATTTTTATTATATTTGAAATAATCATATCTGGTGAATTCTTCATGTCTCGGTACACATTTAAAAGCTTGCACTAAATTATGTTTAAATATGAGATGTGATTATCAGTTGACATTACGCATTACAGCCTACTAGGAAAAGAAGCCAAGTCACTCACTAGATATATATTTTAAAATTCCAATATATAGAAATGGAATTTAAGAAGAAAATTTTTTTAGAAAATAGTTGCATGGCTTTTTACAGTAATTTGGCATATCTGCTAGATATCATTCATCGTTTTATGAACAACTAACATCTCTAGTTAGCAGTTCTAAGGTAATGAAATATTGGTTCAAGTAAAGTGGGAGAATCATGCAAAAAATGGAAAATGTAACATTCCGTATCTTGGAAATTAGACTGGATTATTTTAGGCAGATTATATTTTGTACAATCATCCCACCATCCCAATGGCTATTTCAGGAAAAAGACTATTAAATGTTAATATACAAGATCATTATTATGGTATCTTTATATTAATCAAATTGAATCTTTTAATTTGTGCCATATATAGAAAGCTCTTTTGTTATGAGATAAAAAGCACTTTAAAATCTATGTTAAAAAATAATGTGAAATGTTCTATTTTTTTTTAAAGTCCAACTTTTCACTACTTTTTTAGCTGTTTTTATCTATCGTTAACATAATACATTATCTTACTGTCTGGTTGCCAGAATACAGAATTGTTGTAACTTTACCTTTACACGTTATGACACTTTCTAACATATGGTGAGAATTGAATCTTTTAATACTGACTCATTAGTCACTATGACTTATATATATTCTCATTAGCACCCAAAACTATGTTACTATGTGAATTAGCTGCTGGTAATGTTACAAAGTGAGAAATCAGTTTTAGCTTTAATATAACACCTGTATCACATTAAGCATTCTAAATCAGGTTTATCTGATATATGTTAAAATGTGAGTTGACCTAATTGTATTTATTCTATATTCAAGATTCTATTCAACATCGAAGAGTGAGAAATAAGCATTATAACCACCACTGTTTATCTAGTGCAGTAAATTGTCATTTCCATATCTAACAGTAAGAATAGAAAATATTATGCCAGATACACATTGCAATATATTTTAAACATTGGCACTTGCATTAAACAACTCTTGAGTTTATTGATTTTTTTGTCAAAAATGAGTTCAAATGGTCAGTTTGAGTTTTACATCAAATCAAGTATGTAATCTAAGGTACATCAGAACCCGAATATATAAAATTATCTTACCAAAGCCAAAGGTA